ATTGTAAAAGATATGTAACATATTGTGCACTGAGATGTAAAACCAATGTAAAACATATAACAGTACAATAGTAATGGTATGTAATCATAAGAGTGTACCGCATCTGAAATGTAGCCAAAGCTCAACCAAAGTCGTGACCCATTGTGTCCGTCCCACAGCCCACGACTTTTGCTCGTTTTGCTCCCTTTGCTCCTCTTCGATGAGATTATAGAGTTTGCCATATATTGCATAATAAGGTTAAGACAAACGCTGTTTCGAATCATTTCCAATCTCTTTATACTATATATAAGAAAAACCAAAAAAGTATTTATTTCTAATTCATGCTTTTTATGCGATCAGACTATAGCCTAAATGGTTGTATTTGAATAATTACTACCCGGTGTTAAATTTATCCCAAATCGATAAAATTTGCCATTTTATTATTAATTTATTATTATTTCTTGCATTTTGTTTTGTTGCTAACAATTGAGCCAAAAGTAAGCCTATAGCGCACTGATAGCACTGATAGCCAAACTCCAACACAATTAGAACATTGCTTTCTATAGTGGAATCAAGTTTTTAACAAAACTTGGATTTCAATGTTTCTCTAATACATGACTTTCAAAATGCAAGAAATCACTCATTTTTGCACACAATTCAATGTATTGAATGAATTTATGAGTTCAATGTCTGAAAATAATGCAATTTTATTTTTATTTAAATTAACAATATTTTTGAAATCGATTCCAAAAGCCAATCGATTTTGATATATAAATTGCAAATGAATTTCGCGTTGAAAATATGTTTGGATATTAATTTAGCGTTGGCTAAGAAATGAGACAATTTTATTGTCAATAATTATGTACAACAGAAGCAAAGAAAATGTTTGTATGAAAATGCAAAACAGAGATCCGCATACTTTTGTCCCAAACTTTATAAACATATCATTTTGAACAAAAGAGAGAACCTTTCATAACAATAATATACAGTGTATTTGTTGGAGTGAGTGGTGGGCTATAGGCTATAGCGGTGGTAGTGATGTGCAACCTCTCAACTCAGCACATCACCAATACTCTTATGTTGTGCAGTATTTCATCAATGTTATCAACTCGAGATGACATGACATGCTTATTAGTCTTCTCAACTAAAACTTGGATACACTTTATTTCAGCTAAAGTGAAATGATCAAATCAACGAAATAGAATTAACTAAAATTAACACATAGAAATAACATTACTCATAGGAATAACATTAACATTATTATAAAACACATTTCTTAAAAATTTTGGGACTGAATTTTTTGTTGCTGTTTTTTTTAAAGAAAAATGTGTTTTGCAGTGATATTACCATTTAAAAGACTAGTATTTATATTTATGAGCAATTATTGTATCCTTTTCTCTAAAGTGTATCTTTATATACAGTATAGTTTCATTAGTTTCATATACTTTAGCGTTTTTTTAGCGTAAAATCTGTTGATTGTAGTAAATTTGAGGCAATTATTAGTTAAGGGCAAAGCGTTTGACCCGTAATAAGCCGGCACTTCGCCAACAGTTTATAGTATAAAATGACACAAATTTGAAATTCACTTCAACGAAACCATCTATTATATAAATTTTGTGAACATATTGTACGAGAGAGAGAGAGAGAGAGAGAGAAGGGTTTGAGTTACTTTACCAAGTT